TTGAACTCCAACGGTCTTAGAGTGGGTAAATAGTTTAACTTGGACATTTTCCAAGATACTGTTTCCATCAACCATAAATTCATATCCATGAATAGATTGGCTTGGCTCATCCGGTGAGTTCCCTTTGGGTACAAGACACCAAAGGCTCGTCTCTCTCGTGATGATGATTCAAGAAAATGCTTACTTCAATGGGCTTGCCCATGAATCACCATGAGAGCATGTCCAAATGTTCCTCGAGCTAGCATGAAGCTTAAAGATAAATGTCGTCCCCTAGGAGGCATTGTGATTGAAGCTCTTCCCCTATTCTTTGGCGGGGAAGGCACTCCAATGGCTCAACAACCGTTCGGCTCTATCCATCACCCCTTGGGACGACCTACTCAACAAGTTCATAACCCAATATTGTCCTCCTTCCAAGACGATCGAGTGGAGGAAGAAGATCACTCACTTTGAGAAAGAGGAGGATGAGACATTGAGGGATGCATGGGAAAGATTCTCTGACTACTTCCTCCAATTCCCTAACCATGGATTCGAGGAGCAATTTCTGATAGAAACTTTCTATGGAGGACTCATTCAAGATGACAAGATCCTTATTGACTCTCTTTGCCAAGGGAGGTTGATGAACATGACCCCTCCTCAAGTGACCGAGTTTCTCGAAGATATGGCTCTTAAGGGATATGATTGGGGCTTAACAAGAAGTGGGAAGAGAAGCATCGATAGAAGAGTGCGAAGTGTGGGAGCGAGTGCTCCACTTGAAGCGAAGCTTGATAAGTTGATCGAGGTGATCTTTGAGGACAAGAAGCAAGGAAAGAGAGTGGTGATATCTTGTGATTGGTGTTCGAGCACCAATCACGAAATTGCAGATTGCCCAGCAATGAAGGAGTTGAGTACCCCCGAGGAGCAAGTGAGTTTCATTGCTAATGCTAGAGGGAGCAAGTGAGTTTCATCCAAACTTCGCTTGGTCTTCCCCTACCAATCCAAGACTTCCCGGTTTCCAAGGTAAAACGGGCAACTATCAACCTCGGCCAACATTCATCCAACAAAGGCCTCAATTCCAAAACTCGAACTTCTAACAAACATACCAAGCACAAGGCGGTCAAGGTTTTCAACAACAACAACAACAAGTAGACGAGTTATCTAAACTTGAAGACTTTGTGAACACCTTTGTGAGTACAAGCTCTCGGGAGTTCGAGAAGATTGAGCAATTCTTGGATGTGGCAACATCCACGTTTACCTCGGTTGAGGCGGGACTCCGAAGCCATCAAGCGAGTCTCCAAATCTTGGAAGTTCGAATTAGTAATCTTGTCGGAATCCTCACCGAGAGACCAAAGGGAGCCCTACTCTCTCAAACCATTGTCAACCCCAAGGATCAAGTTGGGTGCAAAGCAATTTACTTGGGGAACGGGAAGGTGACCCTGGAGGTAGTTGCCAAAGAAGTGAATGAGAAGAAAGACCCTCTACCCGAGGGTGAAGAAGAGGAAATCTCGGGGGGAAAGAGAGGAGTGGCAAGGAAGGCATTACTGACGCCACCACTTGTGGTTGAGTACACGCCACCCCTACCTTTTCCCACGAGAGTGCATAAGGAAAGATTGGAAGCGGAATGTGGAGGTTTCATGGAGATGCTCCGAAAGCTCCACCTCAACATTCCCTTCCTTGGACCGATGGCCCACATGCCAAGGTATTCGAGATACCTCAAGGGGTGTCTCTCTAAGAAGCCGAAGTTCGAAGACCTCACCAATGTCACCCTAGGCGAGGAGTGCTCAGCCTTCATCTTCAACAAGTTGCCCAAGAAGCAACCCGATCCAGGTAGTTTCACTATACCTCTTTGCATCAATTCTGATCACGTAGAAAATTCCTTGGCGGACTTAGGGGTGAGCATAAATGTGATGCCATATATAAGCTTTTTAAGAGGCTAGACATAGGTGAACTAAAGACTGCTAGACTTAGTGTCACATTGGTCGATCGCTCTGTCATTAGTCCTAGGGGCATAGTGGAGGACGTGCTAGTAGGGGTGGGAAACGGTGCGGTTGCGGTTAACTGCACCGAATAAGCGCGGTTAACCGCCACCGCACAAGGGGAAAACCACCCACCGTTACCGCATTGTAAACGGTTTGCGGTTAACCACTAACCGCAAATCGCGGTTAGCGGTTAGTTGCGGTTAACTGCACTTCAAACTGCACACCGCGATAAGAGTTAAACGGTGCAAAAAACCGCAAAATGGAACAAAACCGCATAAAAAACCGAATTAACCTGTAAAATTCAGCAACATGCACTTGAGAAATTAACACTAAAACAAGTAAAATGCACATGGAAAAGTCTGAAACATATATAAGTTCTAGACATCTCAAATAAATCATACACATTAAGTTCTAACAATCCCAAATGGAAAGAGTTTGAATTTTGGGCTGTTGGATGGGTTGGGCTTGGGCTGGGTATTCCTTTTATGCGGTTAGTTATTCGGTGGGGTTATTTGTTCGGTGCGGTGTGCGGTTAGTCCGCAAACCGCAAAAGGGCCAATTCCACTAACCATTACCGAATAAAGGCCCTTTTAAACGGTTTGCGGTTAACCACAAACCGCTCTTATTCGGTGCGGTTGCGGTTTAACCGCAAAACCGCAACCGTTTTCCCACCCCTACGTGCTAGTACGAGTGGGAAAATTATGTTTTCCGGCGGATTTTGTGATCCTGGATATAAGTGAGGATTCTGAGATGCCACTCATAATAGGACGCACTTTCATAGCCACCGCCAAGGCATTAATTGATGTAAATGAGGGAAATTCGATTCTGAGAGATGGTGAGGAGAGAATTACTCTTGGAATTGATCAGAAGCCTAGGAGTTAGGAAGTGAAGGAAGTTGAACCGGGTGATATGAATGCAAGTGGAGGGAAGCCTTGCAAGGCAAACCCCACTATTATTGTTGGTTCTTGTGATGATGTGAAGCAGGAAAGCAAGGAGGGCATCTCGCCCAAAAAAGGAAGGAAGGTAGCTTGGAGGGAAAGGATAAGTCGTGTTAAGGCCCAGTGGAAGGAAAGGGGCAAAGCAAAATTCATCGGCCAAGAAGGCCACCCCATGGAGAGTAAGTTGGGAGGCGACATGCCTCGTCCCAAGAACATAGCGGATCCACTCTCGGCGACATCACATTCGAAAGGCGTGATAGATCCGCAACGTCAAGCTAGTGACGTTAATTTGGCTCTTGTTGGGAGGCAACGTCAAGCTAGTGACGTCAAGCTTGTTGGGTTTTCAGGTTACTAACGCCCAGGCAGTTCACAATCGCAAAGACCCTGACCAGAGGCCACTAACCGTGAACCCGAGCAAATGAAGCGATGCGTTTTGGTCGCAGCATTGAGTTCACGGACGCGTTTCAATGTTCACGGCCGTGAACTCAAGCCGTGAACTAGGCGCAATCTCCGTTTAAAAGACTTGCTGAAAGAAAGAAGAAAAGGGGGGAGAGACCTAGAGTGAGAAACTTCTCCTTCTTCAGATTTTAGAGTGAGAAAAGTGACGAACCAAAGAAGAGGAAAAGCTAGGGTTTCTTCTCTAAGCAAGGTTTGTGGAATCTCTTCCCCAAAGGAGGATTTCTTCAGCACAAGGAGCAAGGATTGCATCTTCTTGATGGTTTCCCCTTCCCTCTCTTGTGTTTTCCCTTCTTCTAGCATGGAGTAGTCCCTTCTTTCACTTGGGTGTTTGTAAACCCTACCTACAATTATGTGAATGCTTGTATGAACTGAATGATTTGTGTGTGGTTGTGTTTTAATGTGAATGTGGAGGTATTATTCAGAAATGATTGTGTTGTGTGAAAGCCTTTCAATCTAATTGCCATTCTAATCTAGCTTAGAGAGGAGAGGTTAGGAGGTTCATTGGGTGTTCTTGGGCATTTCATGCCTCCTAGTCTAGTTTAGAGAGGAAACCTCCTTAGGTTAAGAGGATCAATTTGAGAAGGGTGTTCTTGGGCATTTCAATGCCTCCTAAGCTAGTTTAGAGAGAACCCTCCTTAACTTAAGAGGCTCTATTAGAGATGGGTTTCCTTTGGCATTCTATGCCTCCTATTCTAGGTTAGTTAAAAGGCAAAACTCCTAATTCACATTAACACTTAGGGTTTGGTTGTGGGTAGCCATCCGAATTCCAATTCGAGGGTGGAGTCTAACCATTCATTAGTTGATAGGTTGAGAGGGCCACATTAGTGACTTGGATCGTATCCCATTCCTCAACCTAGAGGCTAAGAGGGTAGCTTCGGCTGCTTGTTAGGCTTCCCTGTGGTTTATGACTCCCTAACCACACACGTTCGTTCGATTCTTCAATTGTTAGCTAGGGGGAGCAACACCCGGGTGAAGCATTCTCAGCTAGAGTCAAATCCATTTTACCTTTACAAAACAATTTAGTTTTAGACCTTTGTTTTCATCAAAACCAATATGCTAGATAATGTTTCAAACATTCAAAGTAGCGGTACATGGACCGGCCCGGGTCGATATTTAAACATACTTGCCCTATATTGCACCCATATAAGGTTTATACTTGGACCTTAGATGAGATTTTAATTTGATAGTAAGAGCGAGTCACATCTCATTACTCCCTTATTCAATTTGATTTCTATATGTGATTTGTGTTGTTTTGAAACATGGTATACGTGAACATATCCATAAAAATAAGTATGCACCGTACGTACCCAGAACGGTTGAAATGGCGACATTCGAGATATAAGGCAAGAACAAGATGGAAACTCTCCAAAAATTCGGCATATTAATTGCAACAAATTGATATTTACTCAAAATATGGAATCAAAAGCACAAAATGAGACTCCCATCATGAACACCTCCAATGTCAACAAAGGCTCCCTGGTACAGAGCTAAGGCCACCACTTTCCTTCACATATCTCAATTATAACATCAGTCAAGATACCAATTGTCACTAGAGCCAAAGACCACATTAAACACATTGAATATTATGCTCAAGAAATGATCTTTCTCATTAAAATGCTTACCAGTCCAGGGTAGTAAATGAAAGCCCGTACTAAACAAAAACAAACTAATGACAGTTCAAAATTGCCTCTCTACAGCTAGAGTAAAGCACAATCTACTAATGACTAAGAGTTTCCACCAGAAGGGAAATCATACCAGTCCTTTGTAGTTCTTGCCTCTCTTCCTCCTGCCTGGATAATAGTCCTGGTCTAGCTGGTAACAACAAGGATTTATCAACACTTTTAGCCTCCACATACCTCAAAGACAACTGCATATTCAACTCTGGTAAGCAAACACATCATTCGATGTGTATAATGCAACACACCAAAACAAGAATAAATAAAATCTTTCCTTACCTTTGCCCTCTCTGCCGCCAACTCCCATATCCAAACTCCAGTCAATTCCTTCCTTTCCTAAAACAAAACTCAAATAATTCCCATCCCAAAAACAAACACGTTCACTACCACAAACCAACACCAAAAATTCAACTATACTAGACTACTAGCTACTTCTACATACGAACATGAGTGGTTGACGAGCTTCTCGGAATCATGAAAGAAGATGTTGACCACTTCTTATACGAAGTTTGGGAATGTCTCGTCTTCCACCTGCTGAAACAGCAGGAACAGCTCGTCAACCACTCCCTAGTGGACGAGCAGAGCCAACAAATGGTTCATGCACCCTCCCAGCAACACTGACACACTAAATCCACTAGCATCGACACCGGAAGACCCGTTTGATCGGCACCAGATGTCCCCTCGATCGATCAGTTGACGGGTACATATGAGCTTAAGCATCTCAAATGAAGAGAGAATCAAAGAAATCAAATACACAAGCTCTTACCGGCAAACGAGAAAAGACAGATGTGGAACCATGGAGATGGGAATTTCACCTCAAAATTCACTGAGCAAAGCAGCCAACGCATCACCAGTGATGTACCAACAGTTGCACCAGCAAGCACGGTGCTGACAATCCATCCTACTCTATTGTTAAAACGAAGAAACCACGAGTCATCGACAACCCTCATCAACCAATTGGTATTTTATTTCATTGAATGATAAAAATAAGCTAGCCAACAAAAAAGTTCTTAAACTGAAACTCCGCCTATCAGAACAAACCCCAATTACAGATCCCTTATTTTCGTGAGAAACGAAAAGGAGTGGAGAAGAAGATGAGAATTCTTTATCTTTTGGGTGAGAGGCGATCAAGCGTTTTGCGATTTTAATTTTATTTTAATCCAAAATATGATTTTCCATAAAAAGAAAAGGCCTTCAGCAAAACGTTTTCAGCGTTTGTTCAAACCGTTAGATATGACTGCTGCCATTGGGCATTATAAAATTTGTTACAGGGGTTAGTGGAACTGCGGGTAGTAAACGGGTGTCATATGTCTGTTTCTTTTTAGCGATCTTGTGTTGTACAAACCATCTCACTAACCTTGTGCTGGCTATCAGTTTTACTATTGAGATGTAGAGGTATCAATGCGACACTGACAACAATATTATGTGTCTTAGACTCGATCAAAGTTTAGTAGCATTTGTGATTTTTACATTTTGAAGTACTTTTTTTAAAGAATTTTAAAGTAAATGCATATACTATTTCGGAAAAAGACATTAAACAACATGCTATATATATATATATATATATATATATATAGGTATTCTTCATGTGCCATAGTAATTTCAATTCTCAACCTTCCATGTCAAAGGATCAAACAAAGATATTATGCTACTTGGTCGAAGCTGAATGGCGCGTTATTTACGAAATCTATGTTGATTCTACTAATAAATGTTTTACAAGCAGTTTAAGTGGATTCGTATTCATTGAATGAAAATAGAAAGACGGCGATATGCATATTTATAGTTGAACTAGAAAAATCTAATTCTTTCAGAATCCTACAAGGACTCAGTAACTTACTATTGGGAGTGATAAAAATTTATGTTGTTAATGGCTTAATTGCTAACCACAAAGAAGAATGTAGGTCGCTTCATCAAGGAAAGCTGAAAATCCCTTATCGGGTACCACCCGACACTCGGTGACTCCAATCTTCTCGTCTTGTCGGCCAAAATGAAGAATGGAGGATGGTAGACGAGGTTGTGCCACGAATCACTAATCGTCATGCTAATGTCCCTCTGTGGTGGCTTCCCCATGACAATAGGATGATCGAGAGAGAGAAGTGATTGTGGTCTGTCTCAATGTTGTCGCCACCGCCAGTCATCCTCCTATATTTTACTTGGATGGAGAAGAGAGGAGAAGAGGAATGGTGGCTAGGGTTCGACTGTTCGGGAGTGAAGGAGAATAAGAGGCGTGTTTTTTTTCTTCTGATCATTGGTTCATAGAGGGAGTGGAGGGTTTTTTCCTCAAATATTGTATTTTTTAAAAATGTCATCCAAAGTGTCGTAATGACAAATATTTCCAAATATACCGTATTTATAAACGAACTATCTTTGACCCGACCCTTGGTCAGATGAATTCATCTTATTTTTTATTTGGGGTGTGCAACGTTTGGTATGTACCAAATCGCACCGAAAAAAACTGATGATTATATCGGATCAACCTGAATATAATATGGTTTGGTCCTTGGTCCCACGAATTTTATAAATACTGAAGAAAGATGGATCAAAATGACATTTGTATCGAACCAAACCGACCGAATGTACAGTTTGTGTCTTTTCTCTTTCAACTATAAATATTCGTGTAGATTACTAAAAAACTAAAAAGCAAAAAACTAAATAAAAATTTAAATACTCTTTCAATTTAGACGGTTAGATCTATAAAATTAAAATTAAAAATTAAAAATGAGTTAAAAAAACATGATTGGCGGGATTGATGATGACGTGGATGTGGAGAAAGTCTAGACCCTTCAGATGTTGCGTCTTCATAACCGACATTAAAAGGATAGAAGCAGCCTATAGACAAAGACAAACAAATGTTGAGAGTACCAAAAGACAATGAATCATGGTCAATTGCCTCGATTCTTGTGAGACTTTATAGATTCTAGCTGAAACATTACTCGCCACTGTCGAATTGCCCAATCTGAAACTAACAAACACATGCCCAAGTAAAAGAAATGAATAATTGATTCACGAACTCATGAAAATAAAAGTGACAATGTAGCGATCAAGAGAGTCACATGTCATGAACAATGCACATGAGTTTCTGCTCATCGTCCCTTCTGGCCGCATCTCCAAGATTGCTCCAAACTTGTGGCTCACTAATGCACATGTCATCCTCATATCCAATACTTCAATTGCCCTCTCTTCCATCTGATACAGGAAAAAAATGCCACAACAATAAACTCTCTCTCATAGGACTAACACTACTACATAAAACATAAGTAACCAAAGGCTGAACAAAAAAATGTAAAAGGAAATACAATTAAATAGTTCTTCATCAGTTAGTTTATCAACTTCATACTTTCTCTCAGCTTTGTGCATCACATGCTATGGTGTTTGTGGAGAATGAAATAATTAATCCCTTATGAAAATTGGTAGCAAGTTGCCACCTGTCACTTTCAGGGTTGTTCCTAAGCATTCCTTGAGCACCCACTGTTTGCATTGGACCATATAATATTCCTCCATCTCACTGCATGGGACATGTGCTCGTGGATTTTCAAGATACAACAAACCTGCAAAAGCATCCATTCTCTTGTGTTGTCCTGAATGGTAAAACTCATCCATAAAAGAAAAGCAGGACCATTCTGCAACATTTCTCCATCTTCTCAAGATTCTGCAAAACCAATCATCATTACAGAACCCTAAGAACACTACACCGCGTAACAAAAGTCTAAGCCAACAAATAATTCAAGAATTGAATTAACAATTACAAAAATCCCAATAGCATATTAAACAAAGAGCACAAAAATAAAACTAACCTTTAACAAAATAAAGACTAAAGTATATAAACTTAAGTCTTAAAGAGATATAATAGTCTATTTGAAAGATAAACCATGCATTGAAATGATAAGATAAGCAATCGCTCAATAGATTAAAGGGATGAGGTGTATTAGTCAGTCTATGCATTGTCTGCTAAGTCCCCATATTTGCACTACCCTAGTTGATTCTTGCAAAAACATCTCCCAGATCACACACTTCTTTATCCCCTATTATGGATTTATAAAACTGTTCAAACTCAATGAGCAATATAAAAGAGAACACTGATGAAATGCATTATGATTAAACATAATATATATGAGTGAAACACACCAAAATAAAAGCACAACTTGTTCAGTAGTTTGATGGTCATTGTGTATAGCCTCGGCATTTCCTTGTTCAAGAATCCAACAACCTCAAACATATTTCCTAGTAATAGAGAAAGTTGTATGCAGAATAGTGAAGCAAAGAAGCATTGGTACATTAAAAATTACTTAAAATGAATTTTAGGGGTCGTTTGGTTTCTGATTTTTTTTCCTACAACAATGCATCCATTGTTTTGTTGATGTGATGGAAATAATCAATCAAAATGAGTGATGTGAATATCTCAAGTAAAACTTGAGATTGTTGAGATTGTTTAGTGGGGATTGTTTGATTCTTTTTTTGTTCCAATTATATTCCTATTTTTTATACATATTCCCATAATACCCTTGCAATCTTATTATCTAATCCGCTCTCATATTTTCCGGGAACACCCATGTTCAGTTCCCTCCATTTTTTTCGTGGATGTTTCTAGCACCCGCTAAATTTAACACTCTCTCCCTACAAAATTTCGGTGTTGGTCTAACATCCTCAGTCTCGTCGTTGGTCTAACATATGCAATCAGTGTTTGTATCCTCAAGTAGAATACATGTGTCTATCTCCATTGCTTAGAGAGCGGTAGATTTAATACAAACGGGTGTTCATCTATAACCTATAAAAACAAGGGTAAAGTGATATTTCATACAAAAAAAGAAATACAACTTTTTGAGTGCTAAAATAACTATCACCAAAACCAAACAAGGTAAACTACATTACATCATTTTCTTAAATTGCATATAATTTACAATGCATGCATTGATCACAATGCATTGATTTAAGTATCACCAAAACCAAACGACCCCTTAGTACCAGTTTTCCATCTTGGGAGTTCTTAAAATAGTAGCCTTCAGCCTGTTAAGTGACTCTTTCGTGCTCCCCGTGTATATGTGACGAATTGATAATAGTTAGCCGCAGAAGAAAAAGCAAAGTTGTGACCTTGTCAAGGGCCAAATCTAGATATTACACAGGAGTTTAGAATTAATATGAGGTTGAGCTAGAAATCATGACATTTTGCTTGTATGGCAGTACCTTATTATATAGAAAGAATTTCATTTAGAATTATGAATCAGAGACATTTCGAAGCACTAAATAATTTCACTATGTGGTGAGAAAACACTAAAGCGAAAGCTAAGAACTATGAATCTCGATAATCATATAGATTATAAAGATACAAAAAGATTAAGAACGCACCGCTGACCAGAACATATTGACCATCTTCAGTGGCTTCAGCCCATGAATTAGGATTTCAAGGAATCTAAAAGGACATAAACCCAAGTGGTGCCAGATTCCCGTATCTACAAAGTGAGTCCTACACAAAGTTTTGTTTGCTTTAAATATGCCACACCCCAATAACCAACTGCGTATGATTGATTGTGAAGAACACAGTAAAATCAATAAATGGTCAATTAAAATGTCAATTAGCACTAAACCTACCATCAGAAGCAGCATGATGAGAAGGAAAATAGAGTAGCAGCAGCTACTGCAACTAATCAATCCCCTCCCTCTAGCCAGAACAGTTCACCTATGAAATGCATCACTCTTTTTCCCTCCCAAGGCAACTTCAAAAGCTCACATAAACTTTATGGTGGCTATGCTCCACTTCAAGTATGAAAAATGAACTCATGTAAGAATATTGAGAAAACAAACAGACCCCACATTTACCTCAAACCAAAAAGAAACTGTGTATCTCACTTTCCCCAAACTCCTATGTATCTCTCAAATCATTAATCAAAATGGAATCTCAGGCATCTCGAAGTGCAGCTGGAAAACTATAGTATAAATCATTACCTTCATTATGACTCTAGAAGTAAAATTTAAATGAGACATACCCGATAGTGTGAGGGCAGACCGAGTGCGGTGGTGCCGAAAAAAATTCAGCTTCTACAATTCCCTCTCGAGTCTCGACCACCACATCAAATCTCTCAAATCAGCCAATTTAATTGATGCGAACTGCGCTCATATGCAGAAAAGAGAGCAGAACAAATTACACAGATGAGGGTCTTGAACATGACATCCACAGGGTGCAGCTTTCAACTAAGAACTAAATCACAACTGGAGTGGGAGTTCCCTTCACATACAACACGCATAATGAGAAGAACTGGTAGGCATTTGTGAAAATTATCAGGTACATACAAGCAATCATATGAGTGTAATGTAAGAAACAAATTAGCATACATATGTAATCCCACAATTAAGTGAGCAGCAAAATTGGGCCTCTCAATTCCATATTAGAAGCAGGAAACCATGTGGCAATAGCAAAAGAAAATTACATATTCGCTCATAAGTTCAATTCTAGAAAGCGAAGAAGTTGGGTGCTAGAGTGAAAGTCTAACAAATGAAGTCAATTTTGCAACACAGTATATGAATGTGAATTGTTGTTCATAGAGGAGGGGCAACTGAGACAACTCTCATCTAAGAACTCAGCCTAAATCGAGAATGAGGATAACCTTCATTGTTGGGAAATCGGTGAAGGAGGGACTTCCAGATTCCGATTAAGAACCCAATTAGATGGTTTGAACTACCAATAATGAAGAGGCAACTGTTGAAGATATACAATTTTAATAGAGCACCATTAGAAGCTAATCAAAATTTCAGAGTCCACAATTTTTGAACGGGTTAGCTATGGAAGATCACCATAGAGGAACTAAAGGCGAAGTGCTTGCAACCCATTTACCATCTTTGCTTGAACTGTTTTCAATGTCGATTTGCGACTGCCACGACTCCTTGAATTTGGACAATTTAAATTCCTGCGCCATATTGTTCCCTTCTGATGACGAATAATACTAGGGAACTGAAAAGGAACATCTGCTTGTTGTTGCCTGCTTCTTAGATTAATCAGCCTTCCTAATACTTGGTTCAAAAGTCCGAGAGCTTGAGTTATCTTCTAATTATCCTGTAGAAATCAGGACGGAGCAACATTCATAAACTTTTAAACCAACCGATAGACGTTCCAGCCAGTGAAGTTTTTTGTATTTCTAGGACAGTTATATCGAGCAATTCGATACATTAAGGATTGTTATAACCTATAGCACTTTCCAGGGTGGGTGCTCCCTGCTAACCCTGAACGTTGATTAGCTTGCACTCTATTACAAAAGAAACTCAAAAAGTTTTACACGTGGTTTGCAAATGAAAATCAATTTATGCAAAGTTACTTCATAGAAGAAGATAAGTGCCATCAATCAAGTGAGAAGAAAACAAAACATAGAAGACATGTTCGGGTGACCTTTAAATAGTCAGATTCACGCATAGTATTAAGAAACTCAAGAAAATATTATAGAGGGCATTCAATATATAGAGACTTACTGAAATATAAGAACAAATTCATCCCAAAATAAATTAAAGACCCAGATCGTCACCTAAATGGACAAAACTTCAGATTCCCTCTGCAAACCCTTTTTAAGAGTCGTGGTGTCCTCCTAGTAAGAATGGATGAGTTATTATTTAGTCTCTTACCCAAATAATGACTTATATTGTAAGAGAATGGAGGATTTATCATTCCACCTGGGTTCATACCCAAATAATTTAGCAATTGAGAACCCTAACCCTGCTGTGTATGAATTTTGCATCAATCTCAAAATGGAAGTGAAAAAACCGTGACATTACGAATCAATCATTGTCATTGAGACCTACAATCGAACTGACCTATCAGCAGACAATGAATAATCATGAAACCCTAGTCGAATAAAGAAAAGACAACCCACCAATTTAAATCGCTAGAACTGTAGCCCCCAAGAAGAAGAGGTCGAGCGAAAGGTATGGAAGATCGTTTGACATAAGTGAACTTGTGATTTTGAGAAGGAGGAGGAATACGGACAGGCTTCTACTCCAACTGCCAGAGATTTATGGTCAGACTTATCCGACCGAGGGAAAATGGGTGCTCTCGACACCGAGCAGAGCAGCGAGGCTTTCTTTTTGGAATGGCAGAAAAAACAAAATGGAAATTGGAAGGGAAAGGGAGAAACTAAATGGTTCATATAATTCGACTTTTCTCTTTCATAATTACCTTAATAAATCCTAAAGTGAATTTAGTACTGATTTTGTACAATTTTAGCACTAGAGCCATCAAATGAATGAGAAAAAATAAAATAGTTTTACAATGTATAGCAATGAAAGTTTTATATGCATAAATACGTACAACCATATATATGGTACTAGAAAAGTATTTATTAACTCTAACTTAATTAGACGATAATAAATTATTGATCAATCCATAAACGAATAGTAATTAAGTGCATTGGACGTATTATGGTGGTGGGAACAAAATCTCAGTTCAGGGTTTGGACGTATTAACTATTAAGTAACCTAAATGCCAATGAGTAAGAAAATTGTTGCAGCTTGTGGAGGGAGCCATGGGAAAAAAAAGAGGAGGTTAGTTGGACTTGGACAGGAGAACGTTGTTTAAGGATGAAAGACCAGTTGAGGCGACAAAAAGCCCAATTGGGGTGACTGCGCCTCAATTTGGGTTATTGTTGCCTCAATTGGTTTTTTTATGTTGTTTTGAATTAAATTCAAGCATGCACGCCTTAATTGGGTATATTAGTCGTTTTTTAAAAGAATTGGGGCTTGCGCGAAGAAATACCCTTTATTAAATTTCTTTAATGTATGTTTTTTTTGTGAGAAGAAATACCATATCAATATTTAATTACCATATTCAAAAGTGAAAGTTTTTTGTGGGTATGAACAACCAAATCGCAATGTGTAGTGGTTACGGTGCGAGTTGTGGGTTGCATAATTCTATATATGTGGGTGTGCTTAACCACAAAATATGGGCAGATAATCACACCCGCTCCAATTTCCACCTTTAACAAATATAATCAAGCAAATCCCATAATATAATCAAATAAGCAAAACAATAAACTCTTTCAATCCATAATGAGAACAAAATTATAAATCTAGGATTTTTCAAAATACAAATTTTACCAAAATTCTCATTTTTCAAATCCGCAAACCGCTATTCCTAATTAATCCTAAGAAATTTTGTAATACAATCAAATTTTGGAAGAAATTGTTTGGGTTGATCCATTTGGCAGCGCTCCTCATTAGCAGGTGTGACTCTCCTGTTAGTAAATGGTATATGATCTATGATTGAAACTCTCCCAAAAACTCGAGTTATTGGGACCATCTGGTTCTTAACATGGTATCAAAGACTGGTTACTCGATTCGGGGCGGTGGACATCGGTTCGGGTGATCCTCATTCGGTGACCTCGAGATTTGAGATATGCGTCTGTTTGGTGGATCAAGGAGAGATCCACGTTTGGATTTGGCGGATCAAGGAAAGTCCGAGTCTGGGAAGCAGATCAAAGAGTGTTTGGGAAAAATCCTTGTCCCGATGAGCCCATCAATACAAGGTGTCTAGCGAATCAAGATAATCGCTAAGGAGAGGACATGAAGTTTGATATGATATCAATTCCATCACACTTGACGTCCCATTTAACCAATCGAAGATCGATTCAAGTTAACAAGATCAAGGCTGGAATTTTTCTAAGTGTGGAAACAGTTTTGGGAAGGCCACTTTGGAGGGTTGTATTTCTCAATTGGCTTAGTAGAAATTCGATAATGAGCACTTGTTATGAAGCTGTGATACTTTTGTACATGTTGGAATGCTTGGGTATGCAAGGGGAAGCAAGGAAGGAAGTGTTTCAAGGCCTTCAAAGTACTATCCTGCAACTGGAAATCTGCCAGTTTTTGGCTAAGGCAGAGAAGGTGTTCAAGATGCCGATTTTGGAGCTCAGTTTCAGGAGCATGAAGGAGAATCGAGTTCGAGGCATCATACCACATGAAAGTAAGTTTGTTACTCTACAAAGATGTGGCATTGGCTAAAGGAAAGCTTACCTGGAAGGCTTCCATCGAAGGGCATAAAGATGGGAGGAAGAGCTGTTTTCTAGGCAGCTTACTTGGAAGAGAAGGCAGTTGCTTGGCGTGCAAGTCTATATGCTTTGTGCAAGTTGGTTACCTTGTTTGACTTGAATTAGTTTCATTGTTTTAATAGGATTATGTTATGTTATTTTGGCTATAAATAGCTTTGCTTATCCATTGTAAAAGACACGTTATCATTGGGTTGAATCAAAGTTACTCCGAGGAGTTTTTCTTGAGCACGAGTGCTCGAGTTTGGTGTTGGATCGAGATCCTTGACTTGCAGACCTTGAGATCAAAACCCTCACCTTGATCTCGAGGTGTTCTTCTACCCAAACCAGCCTCTTCCCCTTTAGTGTTGAATTTGCTAGCTTGGTTCTTTTATCCGCAAAGTTCCTTACTTGATTAACACCAAAACCCATCATCCATCCGTTATTCGTGTGTGTCGAGTGAATTGAGTTTTTGAGCCCTACTTGGGACTCATCAAAGTTCGTGGTCCTTGTCTTGAGGATATCATTGTTATGGGACAATTCAAGTACCACATCGGTAAAACAAGGGAAGGAACCCTTGTAGTACGAATCTATCTCTCTTAGAACTCGAATCCATGGAAGCAATGAGGAATCCTCGCTTATTGCTTTACTTTCACCGGGTTCCTCATCCTAACGAATTTCTCTCTTAACCGATCGGTTCTGGTAAAATTTCATGGTTCTTGTTTGTTTCTTAGTAGGCGATTAATGAAGGATTAAGGCCAGAGGTGCGGCGACGAAGATGACGGTTCCAGACCCCCATGCGCTGGTGGATGATGAGAGGAGGGCGGGAGGAGAAGGAAGATTCAGCGTCAGCGAGAAATAGCCGGCGATAGAGAAGGAGAAAGGTGTCGCTGGTCGTCCCTGGTCTCGCCGGCGACGACCATGATGATTTCTCTGGAAGAATAGAACTGCCTCGCCTCTGGTTCAAGGTAATGTCGGCAGTGACAAAGGGTTTGTCCTCTTTGGTTTTTTTATTCAGTGTGATTTTGGTAATGTTCATCCTAAAGTCAAATAGTCATTTGTGATTGTTCAGTTA